CTTTGTCAACAGAATGTGTTGTCATATTGTAAAAATTTTTACCAGTCTGAGAGGTGAGAAATGGTATCTTGCTATTGGGCTATTTTCCTACCTCTTTTTGGTAGAATTTTTTCCCATTTTTCTATCAACTGTTTTGACCCTTTGTCCCTTAATTTTTAAGAGTCTTTTATGTAAAAAGGATATTAACCCTTTGCGGAGTATGTTTCAAATATTATACCATACTTTAAAAAAAATTAACTAAACTCCATTTTATTCACTCAGATTTCATTAGTCTTCCCCTAATGTCCCCTTTCTGTCCCAAGATCCCATCCAGGATACCACATATGTTTAGTTGTCATGTCTCCTTAAGCCCCTCTTGGCTACAACAGCTTCTCAGGCTTCCCTTGACATGGATAGTTTTGAGGAGTACTGGTCAGGCAGTCTGTAGAATGTCCCTCACTTTGTGTCTGTCTCATGGTTTTTCATGGTTAGACTGAGATTACTGGCCTGGGAGGAAGACCACTGAGGTAAAGTGCCATTCTCATCACATGATATAAAGGGTCCATACCACTGACATTACATCACCAATGATGTTAACCTTCATTACCTGGCTAAGGCAGTGTTTGCCAGGTTTCTCCATCAGTATAGTCACTTCTCCCCACTTACACTGTGCTTTCATTGCCTATTTTCTTAGTTATCCCCTTTTTAAATTTAGTCATCTTTATATTCTCAAAGCCCAATACAAAGCAGATGCTCAATAACTATTTACTGAAAGACAGTGCAGGTCAAATAGTCAGTAATCAAGCCAGGAGCCATGAGAATGAAGAACCTTCTGTTCCATCTCTCTACACCAATGGCCAGGAGAACAGATCTTTTGCTTTTTTTTTTGGCTGTGCCGTGCGGCTTGTGGGATCTTAGTTCCCTGACCAGGGTTCAAACCCGTGCCCCCTGCAGTGGAAGCATGGAGTCCTAACCACCGGACCGCCAGGGAAGTCCCACAGGTCCTTTGAGAGGCACGGGCGGTGCACTAACAAGCATGCCCAGTTCAAGTTCCACCTCCTTTACTAGGCCCCTTAACTGTTCCAGATCTCGGTCGTGACTTCTTCATCTAAACTCCTTAGAACTTATTTACTAATAACAATAAATTCTCCTTCATTAAGCACTTACTCTGACAGGCACTGTGCTAATATGCATTATCTTTGTAACAATTTTATAAGGTAGGTGTCATTATCACCTTTTTATAAATTAAAATTAAGTCTGAAAGAAGTTAATATACCTTTGGAGAGTGAAGAGGTCAATACCAATCTGTATCCATAGTGACCAGCAAATAGCACTCGGTATCTGTTGATCTGAGTAATCTCTCCCTCTTCTGAACGGCACTATTTTTCCTACTTCTCATGAAACTTACTATATTCCACCTTATCTTATAATACAGGACAGTCATTCAAAAACAAAACACTCCTACTATTAGATTGTGGGCTCCCAATGCGAAGGATTCATTTCTTCATGTTTCTAAAGTATTTAACATACTACTTTCAACCTGTGAGTGTTCAATTTTGAGTTTAGGGAGTCACGAAGAACACCTAGTGGGCACTTTGTCATGTATCAAAGAGATCACTTTGGTTACTTTGAGGAGAAATAAAATTTAATAGGAGTTGTAAAAATGGGAAAGAATCAACCTAGGCCTCACCAAATTTTAGAGGTAGAAAGTTGGAAATCTGGCCCTATTTCTCATTTTATAGATGAAGACCTAAAAAACAGAAAGCTTAAGTGCTTTGTCCAGGGTCACTTAGTTCCTGAATCCTACATTAAGGTTCTTACTATAGCATCACACTGCCACACAACTTCTCTTGATGGTACTTCTCAAGGAAATGAGTGGTTTTCCACAGTTCCCACTTACCAAAGGACTGCCCAAATACACACTGTCAAACTACTATCTGTGAAGGTGTGTGTCTGTTTAGAATGGTCTTGCTGATCTGAAGACAGCAAACCCCTCTATCTCACCTAACTGGCACAAAAAACATGAAAGAAAGCATACATTAAAAAAATAATAATAAATCATGAACTCCAACAAATTAGACCTATAGAGAGCCAACAGAATTTTCATAAGATTCCTGTTCAATAAGGTATGAACCAAAGCACAGAGCAAGAAACTAAGAAAGCTACAGTCAAAAGACGAGTGACCCTGCCACAAGGGAGGCTTAAGAGTTAGTATACGTGGGGAATTTTCGTGGAATCTGTCCTGCAGCAAAACAAAAGCTCCATAAATTAGATGTCTTAAGAAAAGTCATGTATCTGATTGTATTATGAGGTAAAAACAGCAATATTATTAAATTTACTTAAATCTATTAAATATTAAACATACTGATTTAATTTTTTTTAATTTAAAATTTCATCGATTTTAATTACATTAAAAATCAGTCTGACAACTAAAAATTATTCTCTCAAGTCTCCCTATGTTTCAAAACATCTTTTACACAATGTTTAACCCAAGCTCATATTCCTCCCTGGTAACTGTTAGTGTGACTCTCACTTTCTAAGTGACTTAACGTTCCTTCTGAAACCAACTACCTGACGAGGTCTTTAGAGAATCAAGGGGATGATATATTTTCCTGTAACACCTAACCACTATTTTGCCATAACAAATGACCCTGCTTTAAAGTAGATACCATATGTTCATCTTACCAAATTGAAGTAAAAGGTCATCTTCTAATACCGGCTTTAAATACTCTTCTTTCTCCCAAGGCACTGGGTTGTATATGGAATTCATATATTCAACTGGAGGATTCTGGAAGTAAAATTAATTGCATATTTTTTCACTGCACATAATCACAAAATCCCCCTACCAAAAAACTGGGAAAATTAAACAAAAAAGGAAATCATGTCTACATCACACAAAATCTCTATTTAAACAGTCTATGTTCACCGGCTATTTCATTAACTTGACTGGATGACTGCTTAATTGTTTCAATGCACAGTTTTATATTGTTTGGATTTTGAGGAAATGGCAATATAAACATCAACTGACTAGAACAAAGTATTTAAAAAACACAACAAAAAGAGTAACCAAAGCACTTAAAAATCGCACTAGAAATTATTTCTGATTTTACAGAAAGACTATCAGTATTCCCCTTTATCTGACAGTGAATTACTCTGCCACATAACATTGATTCACCTCTTACACAAAATTAAAAAACACACTTAAGTACGGTATGTATCCATTTACTTGGTGCTGTATGTTGTGCTAGTTCCTAATGTCCATGATTCCCCCAATATGATGAGTGTCAAATTTAAAACAGTTCCTTATACAGCAGTTTCTCATATTCTTTTAAAAATCGGTGCATTGATAATCGCTGTAGTACTTCTTTAGGTTTTAAACAAAATTGTAGATTAAGCTACCACCTTACCTTAAGTCTAATAAAATTTATTAGTTTAATGTATCCATAAAATTCAAGTCCTAAAAGGGAAAAAAAAAAAATTCACCTTTTAACATAACATGAGTTTTGTTTCATTAACCTGCTCCGAAGATGCTTCTCTGGTTAGACAATAAAATATTTCTGTCCTCTCAACTACTACTTAAAAGTTTTGAATTTTTTATTAAGAACTAGAAACAGTAACTCTGACACTTCAGAATATTTTAATTGAGAAACAGCCAGAAAGGACAAATTTTTAAGTGCTTTTCTTGCATTTCTGAAAAATCGGAAATTAATTTTTAGAATTCTACTCACTTATCAGAACAATACAAATGAGGAAAATTAGGCCCTTGATTTTACCAAGTATTTGGCAGTTAATACTAGAGTTGATACTAAAGTTTCTAAATCCCCAATTTTTATGGTACCTACCAAACTATAATTTTGCCAGGACACAGAGTATACAAAGTATACTAGCTTTTACATTAAGTTAAATGATGCAAATGAAAAAATAGTGAGGTTTGTTATCTGGTTCTCATCTTTTCAGAAATGAAGCAGCATTTAAAATAAGGGAAAGCAATAGCATATCCAACCAATTATTATTTGTCATGAGAAATACTGTTATGAGAACATACCAGCATATAAAAATGTTTCATATGCGTAACAGCACACAAAAGCCCCTATTTGGTATTGAAAAAGATATAAAATAATATAAAGTACAGTTTCAGTTCAGTTTTAAAATGCACATTAAAAACATGAAAAAAAATGAAACTAAGTCACTTATATCTTACAAAAGTAGTTGCAGTTGAATTTATGATTCATAAACATACTGTATGTTTATCTGAGACCCCAGATCTGCCTAATATTTGGTATTCTTCAGTAATGTCCTTTCTAGTTGTTAGTAAATACAGGGACCAAAAAGCCAATTCTGTATTTAGTTAATATTAGTGGGATACTGTAGCTCTTCTATATTCGTTTAAATTAGAAGGCTTTAATTTTCAGTATGTTTAGATGCAAGTTTCAATAGAATCAGCAGCTGAATCTCTGGATTACCACCTTAACTTTAGCACTCGCTTTTTCCACACTCTCTTACCAAACTCCTTATAAAACTCAATCTTGTATGCCTTGAAGTCCATGTTATGCTTTGACCTGATAAGTTGGCTTTTTTCATAATGATCCACCTCCTTTTCCAAAGTCCACCTCTACCCTTTGCTCTCCCTAATTCTAATATCCACGCCCCTTGTCTTCCTAATTCTAAAATGATTAAAATGTAATCACATACCAAGGATTTTTGGGGGGTTTTTTTCCTTTTTCGTTGTGAAGGCAATTTAAGCTTAAATAGTCAATCATATCTAGAAGAATGACTTATTTATCAATCTTTCCTCAAAAGCCATTTGTCAAAAACACGCCATTTTCATAAGTTGTTGTCATGTGTTTCACTATATTGGATTTGTATAGGAAAGGAATGGTCTGGAAAAACATAATGTTTGAATTTAAATTTCTCAACTAAAATTTTCTTTATTCTAAAAATTACTCACCATGTTTATGAACCATGTTATCAATATTAAATTGATGCTCAGACTTACAGTGTGAAAATGTTTCTTCAGCAGATGTAAATAACCTGAAAAACCAAGCAACAGCTTCATGAAATAGTCCCCTAAGAAGTCTAAATATTGACTTCATGTTAGATATAAACTTTTCCCCCTCACTCTGCAGGTTTCCAGTTTTACTTCCAATTAATTAAAAAAAACCAAACACACCTGTAGAGAGGAACCCAGCACTCCTAAAGGGAATTAGTACTTCTGAGTCCCATTTTACACCTAAAACAAACTACCCTTTAAAATGTTGAGCTGAATTTGCCAAATAATAGCACTGAATTTATCACAAGGCTTCTAAGAAAGAGAACTCCCTTTGATAGACTGTGTCTCTTAAGACCTGAAAAATTCACTGCATAAGATTTTTTTCTCCTCTAAGTATCAACTCTGCTTTCAGAGGCTCTGAACTGACACAGCTCAAACTGCTTTTAGAAATAAAGCATAAAATGTATAATTTTATAGCTAGTAAATTCCCAAAGTGCCATATTTCGAAAAGTGGTCTTACAGCGCTCCCCAAGGATTTGTATTATAGACACTGTGAGGGCCAAGCTCCTTTATTCTGTGACCTGCAAAACTGAAGGACGTGTAATAACACACGGCAGAGAGCCTGCATTACCTCTTCTATATGCTTAGCACATATGCAGCAGTTTTCAACAAATGTTTACCGAGAGAGCTTATTTATACAGTATTTACACAGCCTATCACAAAGAAGTACCTCCCTGATGCTCAATAAATATTATTTTTTGACGACTACAGTATATGCAGACATCCCGTACCTACCCACATGAGGCTACACGTGGGAACAATGACGAATCGTCAGAAGCTAATATACCACCCATCAGCACCACGCTGAGACTCAGGGGATACTGGTAAAATGTTTATTAAAGTAACACTGGCCAGTGCCAACCAGGCTTCTTTCACGCCCACTTGCCCAGGACAGCAGCCAAAGTCAAAGATGAAGAGGCAGAATTAAGTGGAAAAAACATGTATTTGGTTATAAGACAAACCACAGCTTTGTGACTTTGAACAAGTTACTGGTATTGCAGCGTCTTTTTCCCTAAGTGAAAATGGCATCAATTCCTTTCCCCTCAATTGGGGGGGGGGAGCCCCTAACAAAGGTGATTCTTTAAACGGCTCAAATGGAACTATTACACCTGATAAGCTTTCTAACTGTCAAAGAATTATAGAATGGGAGAGCCTGAACGGTTCTAGAAGGTTGAGGGATTAATCGAGTTTAGTGACTCCCAAACTTGTTACTCTTTAGAATCACTTCAGCTAGGGTCTTTGTAGAAACAGATTCCTAGACCCTATCCCTGATTTAGAAGGGCTGAGGTGCAGTTTAGCATCTGTACATTTTTTTCTTAAGTGTCTCGGGTGACAGAGGTGCACAACCAGATGTGGGAACCACAGATCCGGCCCAGAACCCTTTCATTTTACACAAGAGGAAACTGAGGCCCGTCAAAGTGAAGCAGTGTAACCTGGCTTCCAGTTCATGGTTCCTCCCTGGAAACCACTGTGGGTCTTCCGGCTCAACAAACCCTCACTCCAAAGCACGGGCTCCAGACTTCCAGGGCAGCCACTTGGGCTGGACTCCAGAGGAGCAGACCACACAGACCCATGGGGCCCGGCCACCCTAGGGCTGGCGCCTCGCGCTGAGGTGGACGAACCTGTCACAGAACAGGCAGGGGGTCTGCTGCTTGTCGTGGGGGAGATCGGCATCTTCCTCATCCTCCCAGGAGGCCTCGTCACCGCTGTCTGACAGTCCTGGCAGGTCCTCCTCCTCCACAGCGCCCCGGCCGCCTAGCACACGCAAACGGTCAGCTCTGCCTCGGACCCCAGTGCCAGGAGGGCGGACGAGGGGCAGCAAAGCGAGAACACTCTGGGCCCGGCGGGCCCTCCCCCCCACCTCCCCCTCCCTCTTTGCAGGGCCCCACCACCCCGGCTCCGCGTCCCGGGCGCAGGGGGAGGGGAGGGGCTTTCACCGGCCCCACGGCGTCGCGGCCTAGGTGCTGAAGGGCCGGGGTACCCACCGTCTGCGCCCGACGCTAACGAACACATGGCGGCTGTGCCACGAGAGCCCGGCGCGCCTGGGGGCGGGGACCAGGCTGGGCAGCGCACGCGCAACCGCCTCCGAGCCTTCCCGGCCCGAGAACCCGGGAACGAGCGTGAGTGTGAGCGTGAGCGCGAGCGCGGGCGCGGGCACGCGGTGGGGCCGAAGCTCCGGAAACCCTGCGGCGCCCGGAAACAGGAGAGCCTGCGCGCCGGCTCGCGAGCGCTTCCGGCCTCGGGGCCGCGGCGTTGTTCACGTGAGCTGGGGTGGGCGGGGCGAGAGCCCGGGCTCCGCCTCCTGCCGCAGGGTTGATGCAGCGCGCGCCGAGTAAGCGCTGAAACCTGGGCTGGGCGTTGCAGGCTTAGACTTGGCTTTTGTGTTCTCCTCGGGCTGCGGCAGGCCTTAGCGGGAGGTCCTAAACCGCGGCCCAGAGCCCAGAGGTGGAAGCGGTTCTGCAGTCGGCATCGCGCCCCTTGTGCGTCCCTTATTCGAGGGATGAGCGGCTAGTGGGGGGGCGACCTGCTCGCTGCGCCCTCTGGTGACGGAGGAGGTCGAACGCAAGCGAGAGGCTGGTACTCCACACTGGTTCCGGGGCTCCCTGGTCCCCGTGGGGTGCGGCTGGGGAGAGGGAACTGCAGGGGCCAGTGGGTGTACCAGGGGCCACAGAGGGGCCAGAGCCTCGAGGACTGTTTTAAGGAGTTCAGTCTTTAAAGTGTATGTCCCAAGTTCTAGTGCCAGCTGCTAGCACTGGGCTTGGCACACGTTTATCCAGTTAAATTGACTACCACGGCCTACCAGGCTCTGCATAATCCGCCTAACATCTCACCTCAACCCTCCACCTTGGGCCCCGTCCTCCAGCCTTTTATTTGGTGCTAATCATTATCCCACCTCAAGGTCTTTGCTAAGAATGTTCTACAAAAGGGTAGATACTTTTTGTCTCAGCCAGAAAGTCTTTCCTCAGGCCATCTTTTCTAAAGTAGTTTCCACTGTCATTCCAGCAGCCTCCTGTTAGTTTCTTTCTTATCACCTACCATTTGCTTTTTCCTTTCTTCGTCCCGTCTTTAGTCACAACACTGTTTGAGCATGAGGGTAGGGCCATGTCTCTACCTTCATTTCTCTGGCACATAATATATGGCCTAACTCATAGGTAGGTACTCAATATTAATTTGCTGAATGAAAAAAAATTGCTGAATGAGAACGATGCCTTGTATTGTTGCTAAACTCTTCTGAATGCACTCCTTTCCCTTGACTGTAAACCCCTAGAGGACAGAATCCATCAAATATTAGTTTGGAAGCCCCCTTATATTGCAGGCCACTGCCAGAGTATCTGCTGGCTTTGCTGGGTTAACTTACTATTCACTGATGTAGACCCACTGCCTACGTGCCCAGTGGCACATAGGAGGCATTTCAATAAGCTGAATGAACTTCAAGGTCATTTGTTGCCTGGGCTCATCCAGCTTTTTCCTTCATCCTTCCAACATACTCTCCAGCAAGGCCCATCTTCTCCCCATCTGCATAACATTTGGAGGGAAACCTGCTAAATCCCATTAACACCCAATCATTCCATGTTAACAGTAGCGAAGTAACACCCAGTCCAGAGGAGTGACTTGGGCCAGAATCTTGTTCCTTGAAGTTTATGTGGCTCCACAATGCTGGGCTTAGGAGGGAACAGCTTTTTTCTTTACTCCAAAGATAAACACAGACCCTCTCCCATCACCCCACTTCACTACTGAGGTCAGAAAAGAATGTTGAACAAGACCTGACAGCAGGTTTGTGGGTAAGGAATTTCAACACAGAGAGAATAACTTAAAACTGGCCACTGGGTTTAGCTGCTTTTAGAGCCCACCAGCCTCAGTATATCCTCATGGAGTCCCCTTAATTCGTGCCTCACTTCTTGGGGCCCATGCTTGTTATCACCTAAACAAACAGGCTCTTCAGAGTCCAGCCCCAAAGGAACCCCACCTGGCAGGAGGCAGATGTTCCTTCCATCTCCTTCCTAAAGCCCACGTTTCAAGTCCTCACCCCATCCTAAAATATGCCTCTTTCCTAGATGACTGACATTGGGAATGTCCAACCCCTTCTAAAAGACAGACAGACAGACAGACACACACACACACACACACACTAAAGGAGTCCACTGAAGCTTGAAATTTATTACTTTGCTTCCCCCAGCACAGAAGTTAAGACAAACTTCACTACTATCCTTTGTTCCATGATGGAAATTAACAGTGTGTTCCTCTTAACTTTGACCCTTCCTTCTGCCTCTTCCTTTCCTTTTCCATAGTTTTTAAAGTGAAGCACTTTGAGATATACATTTACTGGCTATGTGAACATTTTGTAGTTAATCATTAGAGGGATCCTAGACCAATGAAGAAACCCAAACGTTTCTATTTTATTCATCCATGGCATGTACTGATCCAGTAACAATTAACTGGAACTTCCTGGAAATATACAGATACTGGATGCTCTTGCAGAGTAGTTAAAAACAGAAGCTATGGATTCAGGCTCACTTGGGTTAGAATCCTGGCTCTGCCATTTCCTAGCTTCAGGCTTCAGCTTTAAGCCCTTGGGCAAGGCATTTAACCACAGTGAGCCTCGGTTTCCCCGCCTAAGACGGGGATGATAGTACTGCCTGTAAGAATTATAAAGATTGTTTGGAGGGTTAAAGGACAGACATCATGTGTAAAAGCTGGCAATTAGCAAGCACTTGATATATATTAGCTGCTATTCTATAATCCCATTGGCCAAAATACTGCATATTACCACAGATACTTGGGCATTTTCTAACGATCTAAGGGAACCCACGACTTGTCCATTTATTTTAATTCTTCTATTTAATTCTCCCATGAATAATATATGCTCAGTTATATAATAACTTTTATTATATATTCTAAAGAAATAGTAAGGCACAATGTTCACTTACACAATTAACATGCAGTCAGCACTGGGTAACTCAGAGACACAAATGTCGACAATTTTTGTTCGGGACTCATCTGCGTGATACATAAAGTCTTCACTGCTGCTGTGACTCTGCAGACAAGCTTTCAAAGCTGGCCTCCCCACCAGTGGCATCAGAACCGTAAGAGAAGCTTAAATAAAACTACAGATTTCTGTCCCCATACCCCCAAAATTCTGATTGAGAAAGTTTGAGGTAGGGCCTGTGAACCTCTCATTTCTGTGCCGAATACGAGACACTAGACCACCAGGGAGCTGCTGGATCTCTATTTTTGAAAGGCTTCCCAGGGTAATGTCTACATATGTACAATCAGGCTCTAAAATGCCGATGCAGAGCACGATCATTTTTTGATTGGATCTGGGCGACTGAGAATGGTGAAAGCACAGTTAAAGCACATGTTTTTTTTAGACCCCGAAATTACCGATTAGGTGATGGGTGTTGAGTTTGACAATAGAAAGCATTTCTCCAGTGTGGTCACGGCTTGAGAGAGCCATCAGCTTTCCCCAGGTCGTGGATGGCCTCGTTATCCAGCAGTTCCTTCTTCTTGTCACTTGGTCTCACGGCGTTGTTCAGCATTGCTCTAACCACAGTCATCACTGGCACAGAGTGACCGCTGGCCCAAGATTCTGGTAAGGAGCCAAAGAACTTCCTAATCAACCATTCACCTGGGCGAGATTCTTGCCTATCACATAATAGAACTCTAAAGAGAAAAAGAAGAGCAGAGGAAGAGATGGTAAATTGCATTCAGACCATACAGGATGTTATGGATTGAACTGTGTCCCCCCAAATTCATGAAGCACTAATCCCCAGTGGGATCGTATTTGAAGACACACCTCTAGGGAGGTAATTAAGGTTAAGTTAGGGCATAAGGATGGGACCCTAATCTGATAGGACTGGTGTCCTTACAGAAAAGGAAGAGATATCAGATATTTCTCTCTTTCTCTCCACTCACACAGAAGAAAGACCATAGGAGGACACAGAGAGAAGCAGCAATGAATCAACAAGCCAGAAGAGAGGCCTCACCCGACACTAACCCTGATGGCACTTTGACCTTGGACTTGTAGCCTCCCATTCTGCAGTGTTAGTGTTATGGCAGCCCAAACACACTAAGACAGTGCATAAATGGTTTTATTTGGGCACGAAGAGGATTTTAAAGAAGAAGGCAGCCAAGGCTACCCAGAAAATTTCAGACTATTCTGAACCTGGCACCACCAACCGTCTAGCCTTTCCTTCAAAGCTAAAAGTGGGTTCTTCAGAGAAGCAATCTCCCTCCAGCCAACTCTTTCGTATCTTAGAAATTTGTCAGCCTCTTCAAATGAAAAACCATCTTCTAGGGAATAACCAACAGTGGTGTGCTCTTAGGCAGTAGGAATACTTACCCGGGCCTAAATATGGAGTAACGATCAAAGTTTAACTCTTCAACCCTAGCTTCCACTTCTCCCTGTTAACAAAAAAAAACATTTCTAGTATTTAATCAAGACCAACTTGCTGTAATGCTTAAGAGAGAATAACAAGAAAAACTCGAGGTTTTGAAGACAATCTACTTCTGCAGGTCTCAATACTAGTTAATATCCTCCCCTAGATTTTTGGATTCCAGAGAGTCTGGGAAGTTAAGGAAGAGATCAGTTAATCCTGATATGTAGTAGAGAGTGAAAAAAGATGCACCGAATGAGTAAATGGCTGCATGGTCAGTCCAGCCTGTCATGTGACCTACTGAAACAGATCCAGAGAGTGACATGTTAGGAGTTCAGCCATAAAAGAACTGTCCGTCACTCCAGAATCAGTGCTGCAGGCCAGGGGACCTTAACCTTTTTTGGCTTCCAGGTAGTTTCAGGAGGTCAGAAGAACCACAGACTCCCTTGTATTACTCACTTCCTAACAAAATCCACAACATTTCAAGAGACAGAGCATCTAGATGAGGCTTTAAATTAAATTTGTTGAACAATCCATGAATTTTCACGCCAGGCATCTCTATAAACAGAAATGCCAGGGAAGCTTGGCCACAGGGATGTTTAAAAGGCCTATGAACTAAGCAGCCTGCTCACCGCCGCCTTCTTGGCCTGTTCGTACCATTCATTTGGCACTTAACCTACAGCACTGTATAATCTGCAGTAATACATTTTAATCAATATATTTAAAAAATACATTTTAATCAATGTATTAAAAAGCTTTTTTCAATGAATGATTTTTAATACATTCACAGAGAGTTGTCCCACCTTCACCACAATCTAAATTTAGAATATTTCATCACCCCAAAAGAAACCCCGTACCAATTAGCACTCACTCCCATCCCCCCCCGCAAACCCTAGCCAACCATTAATCTTTCTGTCTCTAAAGATATGCCTATCCTAGACATTTCCTATAAATTAAGTCATGTAAGTTGTGGCCCTTTGTGACTGGCCTCCCTCATTCAGCATGTTTTCAACGTTCACCCATGCTATAATGTGTCATTTCTTTTCATAGTTAAATCAATGTTATTTTGTAGGTATATGCCACGTTTTCTTCATCCATGCATCAGCTGATGGACATTTGAGTTGTTTCTACTCTTTGTCTATGATGAATAATGCTTCTATAAACATTCATATGTAAATTTTTATGAGGGTGCGTTTCTTAGTTGGTTTTTTACAAAGATGTGCTTTGTCTCTATTAGCAACATGTGTACAAGAGTACCAGGCTGAAACTGCTATTCTTAGAAAGGTCTGCTTGCCAGGTTGTCCTTTGGCCTGTGTCTGGGAACTCAGATTTTAGGAGTGTTCCCGTCGTTAGCTAACTGATAAGGGTACTTTACTATGCCTAAACTATTTGTACAAACAGTGTGGTTTATGCTGAACACTTGCTTTCCTTCTGGAAGTCTGTAATTTTTTTACGCTAAGGGTGCCTACGTGACTGACCCCCATCAAAACCCTGGACTCCTGAGCTCAAGTGAATTTCTCTGGTAGGCAATACTCATTGCTGGAGAAATGAAACACGTGTAACTCCACTGGCAGAAGACCCTTGGAAGCCTGAACCTAGATTCCTCCAGAGCTCACTCCATGCACTTCTTTTTCCCTGCACTGACTCTGCTTCATATTCTTTCATTGTAATACAACATGGCTGTGAAGATAACTATATGGCAGTCCTGGGAGGCCTTCTAGCGCATTCCCAAACTTGGGGCTGGCTTTGGGGATCCCCCCAAACAAGACTGTAATTCCTTGAGGACAAGAACCATACCCAATAATAACATTTAATCTACTCTGGAAAAGTTTAAGTATCACTGCCTCAAAGTCTCTTCTAATGCTAAGATTCTGAGCTGATCCTCAAGACCAGGGCTGCAACATCTCATTTTATGATGACTAGATAATCAACAGAGGGGAAGACATTGGAAATTATCTTTCAAATCACTCCTGTTTACTAAGTATATCTCTGCAAAAAAGCAGTCCGTGTAGTTATAAAAAATGCGTAATATAATGCATTGAATGCATTTTGGCATTACTTAGCATTTTGTATTATTTAGTATTGCCAATTAGCCAGGGTTCTCCAAAGTATACAAAAGATAGAAACATGCACAAACCTTGACTTGCAGATATAAAAAACTGCTTGACTTATCAGCTCCCTTAGAGGACAGCAAGTTGAAATGTTTGCACCCTCCAGCTTTTGCCAGCTCTGCAGACTTCAGGACGTAATCTCGATCAACACGAACAAATCCCTCCTAAGGGTGAAAAGGATGTGAGTTATTTCCCAAAAGCTGTGAGTTCATCTTAAAGATTACTTATCAGCTTGGGTGGCAGGTTAAGAGTCCTTGTGGGGGGGGGGGGGGGGGGGACGAGGATGGGGATCCAAATAAAATGCATCCAAAACAACACGAATGTCAGGCTTAGACCCTGGGAATGACTCCAATATGATGCTCAGGATAGATGTACCAGCTTTAGTAGCAAGGCCAGACTGCAATGAAAAAACAAGGACAATGACACTGAAACACAGACACCAAGAAAATCTGCAAGGAGCAAAAGGAACAATAATATCAGGCTGAGAAACTGGGGTTTTTTGTTGTTGTTTTTTTAATATTTATTTATTTATTAACTTGGCTGCACCAGGTCTTTAGTTGTGGCATGCGGGATCTTCGTTGCGGCGTGCAGGATCTTTGTTGTGGCATGCAGAATCTTTAGTTGAGGCATGTGGGATCTTTAGTTGTGGCATGCGGGATGTAGTTCCCTGACCAGGGATCAAACACTGGCCCCCAGCACTGGGAGCACAGAATCTTAACCACTGGACCACCAGGGAAGTCCCTGAGAGACTGTTTTCAGTCTCACATTTCTTTGTCCTTAATCCTTTACAACCTTACCACCCTCTCTGTTTTCTCTCTGTTTTGTGTGTCAACTCTAACACAGCAGGGTCTCAACGGGTGGCAGGGAACACTACCCACGCACTATGAGAACAAAGTCTATCCAATTTCCAATTTCTGTGTATGTTTTACAACATACTTCCCACGTTAGTAAGGAGTGCATCTGCAAATTTTTTTTTACTGACAGGTATATAATCAAGAGTGTTTGGAGACCCCTGGTCTAGACTCAGTCCAGTGAGGGTAGCGGTTGAGTCTTTCCTAATTCACATCTTAGCATCAGTACGTGCCCACCCAGCACATGGCAGGTGCTCCAAAAATATTTGAATGAATGAATAAAAGTCCAGCGAAAGCAGAGAAAAGGTAAATCCAATTAGGAAAAAAAAGAACTAAGTGGCAATCAAAGGAAGAGGGGAGAGGATGGTGCAAACAAGAGAATACAGACTGGTTTCCAGGGCCTAAGTGAAGGATACCGGCCTGTACCCAGACTAGGGAATTCCATGTAGTAACAGCTTCTTGGGACCACCACAAAGTCTGGCATCCTCCAACTTGGTACAGCTGAAGAGCAGTCTAAAGTCTACTGAAGCTGAACTTCATGGGTACCCACAATTATATAATGAGGTTTCATATAATGAGGATTCCAAATCTGAAGACTGGATTGCTGCCCCAGTGATTTTTTTTAAATTAAAAATCTGCCCTCTGGTAGTTACTGACCCTAAATGTTATATTTTGTATGGAGATATGTATCTTTCATAAGATAGACAGAAGGCACCTTAGGAAACATCACGCCTAACCCCCTCACTGTGGAGATGTGACAACAAGGTCCAGCGATCCAGGAACTACCGGCTAATGAGTGAGATAGCTGAGAGCAGAGTGCAAATTCCTGACTCTCTGAGCCGCGCTCCCCACGGTACTCATGTTCCTTCTTACCTCACACCATCACCAGCTAATAACAGAACTAATTTTTAACTGTGGTAGGCAGAATAATGGCCCCTCAAAGATGTCCATGCCCTAATCCCCATACCTGTGAACGTGTTCGAGGCTACATGGCCAAGGGGAATTAAGGTTGCAGGGGGAATTAAGGCTGCTTATCAGCTGACTTTGAAAAAGGTTATTCTGTAGTATCCGACTGGGCCCAATGTAATCACAAGAGTCACTAGAGTGGAAAAGGGAAGCAGAAAAGGAGGCTGGAGTTAGGCAACGTGAGTAGCACTTGATCCCCCATTGCTGGCCTTAAAGATGGAGGAAGGGACCATGAACCAAGATATGCAGGTGGTCTTTAGAAGCCAGAAACGGTAAAGAAAATGGATTCTCCCCTAGAGCCTACAGAAGGAAATCAGCCCTGTCAACACCTTGATTTTATCTCAGCAAAGTCCACATTGGACTGCCAACCTATAAAACTGTAAGATGATAAACTTACGTTGTTTTAAGCCACTAAATTTGAGGCAATTTGTGACAGCAGCAACAGGAAACGAATACAGAATTCAATTCTAAAACAAGGGGCCCAAGCAAACTTCTCAAACTTTGTATTGAAGTAGATCATAAAAGTAAATATATTCTAAGCATAGAGCTGGCTATATAAGCTGTTCATAAACTAATAAATACCTTCTGCAACCAGCTCCCAGATCCAGAAATAGAGCACCACCGTTACCCCAAAAGTCCGTCTCGTCCTCTCTTCTTATCACTTACGGAGCATTTTTAACGATGTCCACGACCTGCAGGGTAGTGCTGATCCTCTTTCTTTTTTTTAGGTAATATAAACTTGACTCTTAGCCGGGAATCATCCCCATCTGCTTCTGTGTTGTAGACTTTGACATTCAATCCTAATAACGGACTCAGCGACCTGTCCTACGCACTGATTGAAACTCATGTTGTTGCTTTCTTAAATCAGTGTGCAGCAAACCAGTTTTAATACTCAGCACATCCTGAGAGTGGGCTGTGATTGATCTCCTCAGAGCCATTCTCTGGATTGAGATTTTTACATGTGCTCAAAATGGGCCAAGAAAAACAACCCAAAACGACTTTAAAAAATTCTAAAACACTCTATTTGTCTTCCACATCTATTTTCTTCCCCTCACTCCAATTCACCAGAACTCTGATTTTGATAACAGGTTCATTATTCCCAATAAAATTACATTGTTGACTAGTGAAATAGATTCCTTTCTTTTGCTGCTGCTGGTTTAGCACTATTTCTTGGAAGGATTATTAGAGTTGTCTCTGTTAAAATGTTTCTTCTTTCATCGGTGTCTTTAAAAATACGGGAAAGCTTCAGCCAATCACAAGGCTCTAGACCGACGCTGTCCCTCTCACTTAATCCAGGGCCAGTAAAGGGATAATTTGATTAAACTGAGACCCCAATTTATCTGGCTTTAGTTCTGGATCAACCACTCCTTAATAGAGTCCTGCAGTCTCCAATTGTTTGATGAAAATTAAAGTGACATAAATACCATGGGACTTTTACAATCTGATTAGTCAGCTAAGGCACATCAATACCACCCCAGCCATCAGCCTCTGGCGTCCCTCCTTTCACCCGCCTGGCAAAGGACTGACAACGGCTCCGGGCAGGACGAGCACCCACGCTGCTGCAGAGACCCTCACACTTAGCCCATCATCCCTGCTCAATGGGTCCTGTCGACAAGGTGCCCATACCTTTCTTCACTGCTGTTCTCTGGACAAAGCTCAATACTGTTTTATTAGCAATCAATGGCTGTTAATCCAAAACGATTTCACAAATCCTCTGAGCCCTCAAGCTGATTATAAATATGCATCATTCCAAACCCACAAACTTTGAATTTCACTTCCCCCACCCTGATGCGTGGCCTTTTAACTGGTGAATGAAACTCAAAAGCAAAGGGGTCAATGGCTTTCAAGGACTCAGAAGCCAAACTTAAACGTGGATCCCGGACACTTACTCAGAGATACCGACACACACTGATTTTCTCTAGAGTGAGGAAGACTCCCTTTGTAGATAGAAAGGAGCTATCTTTAAGATATTATTAAACCCTTTCTTGTTCTCTAGCAGCTCAAATAAAAGAATAGAAAAACAAACTAAAACAAGTTACTCCATATCCCAGAAACACAATTTTCAGAAAAACCGTATTTAGTTTCCCCAACCATATGGCAGAAAAAAAGATGTCTCTTCTGAGAGCATTAAGTCCATTATGTCTTTGTGTCTTTATGATTCCACAGTTGGTGTGTTTTACTCTAAGACAGGAATCAGAGTCCTTCTAGAAAAAGGAAATGATTAAATAAATTCCCACTATAAATTTCCTTTCCCAGCACCTGCTCGGAAAAATAAACACAATATACTGATATGACACAGCAGAGATGTCTTCATGGGCTCTACAAACATCTAGGTAGACAAATTCTCTAATTACTCTTTATTTTAAGTCTTATGAAAATCCAAAGCTACTAAGTATTCCTTCTAATATTCTTTACCAATGCCTACAAACTGGGAACACTGTGGCTTAAGAACACCTCATCCTGATAAGGTATTTCAGCATTGACAAGCAAGCAGGCAGGAATGAGTCAAGGTCAACAAGACCCTTTTCCAAGAAGGGAGGATTTCATTCCGCAAAGGGTCCCACTTGGCCATATTTCTGCTTCAGTTCTTTCTCCTTCACTCCCTTTTCAATTCAACCCTATAAATTAGACTAGAAAACAGAGACACTGACAAACAACAAATGGTATGACCTGAGACCCCATTTATTTGTGTCCTGGAGGGCACGTCTATATTTGATGTACAGAGGGGGAACCAAGATCTTGGTTAGAGAAAGAGCTCTGGATAGAAAAATAAAATCTTATAGATGCAGAGGATTCCTGAGTCAATCTCTATGTTATCACACATTTTTTTCCATTTGGGGCATTCCTTTCTTTCTGTTTTGAAAGTCAGAGAGTTCTGCAGGCCAAAGGGGCTTTGGTGGTCACCACCCTCTCAGTACAGACAAGGAGACAGGGGCCCACAGAAGCTAACCAGCATACCCAAGGCCCCACAGCCATTTGGTACCCAAACAGAGGCTATGATCTGGGTCTCACGAAACATCTGGGACCTCACCACTTCACAAGCCCCCTCCTAGACATCAAATAAAATAGTATAGGTGACAACAGGGGTTGGCAAACTTTCCCTATAAACGGTGAGATAGTAAATATTTTCAAATTTGCAGGCCTCTATTGCAATTACACAGCTCTGCCATCATTGTGCAAATGTAGCCACTAATAATATATAAAGTAATGAGAATGTTCCAATAAAACTTTATTTATGGATACTGAAATGTGAATTTCTTATATTCTCATGTGTCATGACACATTAGTCCTCTCTGAAAATTTTTAACCATTTAAAAATATAAAAACATTCTTATTACCACTGATGA